TTTCTCCCTGCATCCTGCCGCTCCCTCCTGGACACCCCGGGGCGAGGGCTGGGTGCTGCTTCCCAGTGCCCACGAGTGTGCATTGCCCACTCGAGCCCAGGGGCTGTGGGTGCCTGGAGCCGGGGAGACAGCCCGCTGCGGGCCACAGGACAGGGCAGGAAACGTCTCCATCTGCGGGCAGGCCGGGGCTGTAGTGCCGCCTTCGGAGGGGCAGTGTTTGCAGGGTGCTTGAGGGTATTTCCCAGCGCAAAAGACTCTCTGAGTGCAGCTGCCTGGAAAGCAGGATCCCTCCCTGCCACGTTGCACGGGAATGGCCCTGATTTCTACTGGGGCTGAAGCTACGCTAGAAAAAGTTGATTTAAAATAATGCCCGATGTTCCTGTTTGTTTACAATAATTTAAATGGACCCCATTCTGATCAGCTTGTCTGACTGAGTGGCTGAGTGCACGCAGCACTTTCTTCCTTGTGCGCAGGAACAGCTTGTTCACAGCAGCCAGCAAATAAACCCTGCCTTGCGCTGGGAGAGCAGCTCTGGCATATAGCGCAGGGTATTGCGAAAAATAGCCCTGCGAGCAAGAGGGACAAAGCCTTCAGAGGCTGTGTGAAAAAACAAATACTTTCTTTTAATGGGGATACTCTACAGCACAAACATCGTTTCTCTCTGTATAACAGTAGTGAGCAAACAGCAGCTTCGCCCCGCAGGAGCCTTCCTGCCACAGCAGGGTCGGCACAGGGCAATAAATTAATCTCTCTCTGGAAGGGAGCTTGAGCCGGTCAGATTCCTTCACGGTATCGGTGGCCATCGCTCCGAGCCACCCTTTGCCTCCTTGGCTGGCCTCTGGCGTGCTAAATCACAGCCTGCCAGCGAGGGTTCGGGAGACACTGCTCACCTTCCGTGGCTTGAGATCCATTTCCCAGCTGCTGCCAGAGCCGAGACAGCCAAGCGTGTAGGGTCGGGGAGGGAGGCTTGGGGAGAGGGGAGGGAACTGTCCCGGCAGGTCTCAGAGCTCTGACTGGAAGGAGATAGAGGGAGAGAAGAAATTGCAAGCTTTGAAAGGGCAGCCGAAACCAGGAGGCAAACAGAGTCACGTCCTTAAGGAGCCGGCTCAGCTCCCGTGCAGAGCCCAAGGGGGCTGGCTGGCTGCAGCCCCGCAGCCTCAGCCCCGCAGTCTGCCCTGCAGCGACGCTGCGCTCTGTCGGTGCGGTTCCCCTCTGTGCAGAGCTGCCGAGGGGGCCCTGACCCTTCCCCGCCGCCCCCCAAAACCTGCGTGATAGAGCAGCCGTGCACGTTGCTGCAGCGGTGTTGGCAGTACGGCACTGACCCTCCGGACAGTGTAGATCCAGTTGAGGTAGGCATGGACGCTGGTGTAGACGCCAGGTATGCTGGGGGTCCCGCAGCCCTGGCCCCAGCTGACGATGCCGACCACCTGCCAGTGCCTGCCCGGGTACAGCAGGGGCCCGCCGCTGTCCCCCTGTGAATGACAAACTGTCTGAGCAGGGGCTGAGGAGCCCCCCCGGCCCCCAGCACCCTGCGTGCCGGTGCTCACAGCTGCAACTTGTGGCTATTTCCAGGAGGACAGTGCTTCCCTGAAAGGGGCTCTTTCATTGATACGTGCGGACCCACCCACCCCCTCTTTCTGGACCAGCCACCCCCACCTGGCAGGTGTCCACCCCGCCTTGGGGCAGGCCGGCACACAGCATCTTCTCGGTGACCTCCCCGTGGTAGGCGGCCAGGTTGCAGCTCTTCTTGTCTATGAGTTTCACCTCCGACCTCCGCCTGCTGCAGGGTCTCCGACAGTTCACCTGCGCGAAACGTGGCTGCTCAGAGGGGCCCCCCAGCAGCCCCGGGCGTGGAGGGAGCCCACTGGCCC